ATATAAATTAAAATATACCGAAATTTAACGAAAGTAATATTTCAATTTATTTTACTAATATAAAACTAATTGCATTATTGATTTCCGTCTGTAATTGTTCTTCTATCAGCCCAGTGTTGTACATCTTTATCTCTAAAACATCGTTCCAATCATACCCAACATTATCCCTTCTCAACGTTAGTCTAGATATTACTACAACTGAAAGTCACTATCCGCGTATAGAAGTTGATTTGCTCAACCTTGTGAATGTATTTGAAAAGGGTGTAATGTCTGAAGTCATTTCTTGTTTCTTTCTTTTTAAAAAAAATATATAATAAGGGAGACAATGTCCCAACTGTCATTCGATTTCCCCTCGACAAGACGATTTTTTCATCAGACATCAGCAAGGACTTCTCCAACAACTTAACAATGGCTTTGATGATGGAGACCATCAAGACGCCAAAATACGCCCAAATCCAAACCGCGTACTGACGCAACCATAGACTTCCTATTATTTTTTAAATGTGAATAAAGAATTACTTAGTAATTTTATAAAACTATCATTTCTAAAAGTTTCTAAACGCTATTTACTTTGAAGGCGCCCTATTCCTGTATGGTTGGTAATTGCATATCCGCCAACCATAGGCATCAGATCTGTTACTATAATTATTAATGTGAAGAAATACGTTTAGTTAAAGGATGGGTCCATTTTGTACGACTAGCACGGTAGTGCAGTTATATAATGTAAGCAAAAAAAACCTTCATACTTACTGCCAGAATCTGATATCAGGTAGCGCACTAAGAGTGGCTTAGTACCCGTTGTATTTTTTGCTAGATCTGGTGGGATGGGTGTATCGCAACTTATTAGTAAATTTATTAATAAAACCATCAAGTTTCTCAACGCTATGATATTTACTTTGACGATATAGTGGAGGACTATCTTCGAACACGCCCAATTCTTGTATGGGTGGTAGGTGCATATTCTAGTGATAAGTTAAATTGTGTTGCAATATTTTAAATAGCTGAGGGTTTGTTTATATAAAGCCCGAAATTTTTGTCGTATAAATATGCAAACTGTTAATAATCGACCAATCAAAACAGAGAAAAGTTTTACCAAATCGGGGTGATGGTGTTCGATCTCGTGACTCACAAAAATATTTGTCACCGGGACTATCACTTAATGCCGTAATTCTGGCCAAAAAATCGTGATCGAACACATCCCAAAATCTTACCCTGCGCCGTAATTTTTTTTCACCGGTCCTTTGAGTCGGTAACTTATAGCATATATTATGGCTGAAATGAAAAGGATTAAGAAGGCGCAGTAATCGTTTGACGTAGCTGGTGTCACATTCATTTGGGCGAGCAAAACTTTTTGACGAATGTCTCTCCGTTTATTAAGTAAGCTTTTGTACTTTTATATTTTTTTATATTTATTATTACAATTATTTTATCCAATTATACCGTTCAATTATTTTAATATTTAATAAAATTGATTATTTTAAAATGTATATACCATTTCTCACAATCTGTACAAGTCATTATTCTATGGATTTTTATTTTTATTAGGCCGACCAGATTGGTAAAAATTTTGAAACATGAAAAGCCAATAACCAAATTAGTTAGATGCATTATCTATCAGATCAAGTTGGAGCATGTCACGTTATTCTTTTCTTTATGTGATAATGTCTCGCAAAACATATCCTTTTTAAACGTTTCAGATTTACAAATTTTAATTTTAGATAAACATGTTCGAATTGAAATAATTAATTGGTTCAGTTTTAATTTGTACAACCAATATTTTTTGTTAAGCGTTATCACAAGTTGAATATAAATAGGATTGTAAAGAAATAAAAAAGAAAAAAAATTTTTTTCACAATTTCACAAAAAAATTCACTCACAAAATACAAAAAAAAAAAAAATTCACAAAATTATTTTCAAAAATAAAACGTACCTTGAATAAAAGATGTATATAAACATACATATACCTTATCCATTACTGAAAAGGCTAAACTTATACACCAAAAACCGGATAATGAGTATACACTACTTACTGGGAACCCACTTTCCAAGCGAATGCGTATGTCCAAGCTTTTTTGGAAAGGGAGCCGTTCTAATGGCCGATATTTTATGGTCGGTCGACATTTGATGAGGAGGGAAGTAGACTATGGTAATAAAATAGTTTGCTTTTAATACTGCCACCGCTTCCGCGTCACCTCCAACAATACATCGTTTAACTTTTAAAATTTTATGCAAATGTAATTAACAATTAACATGAAGCCTGAATTGTTGTTATTTCAGTTTATGGAAACAATTAGGATTTTTATTTTCCTAGATTGGGTGTAAAATTTGTATGTAGTTAAGGTTTATTTTACATTTTGGAGTATATTTATTAGTAAATTTGGTTGTTACGGGAATTTGACTAAATTCAATTTAGGAAGGATAATACATAGGACGTTAGTTATAGGGTAGTATTCTTGACACTTTATGTATCTTTAAATTAACAAATAAATAAAATTGTTTTATAAAATATTTCTCTCCAATTTATCAGGTTTTTTTTTTTTTTTTTTTTTTTAATTATTGCTCAACTGATGTTTCGTGACATTTGATTAAATGACATAAATTCATTAAAATAACTAACTAAACGTTAAATCGATCTAACCATATGGGACCTTTGCAATAGAAAAGGGGGGAAACAGTTGGAAAAATCAATTTTGCTTTTATATGCCAAATATGATTTTTAGGTCAAAATATGTTCAGATATAGCATCAACATTTTTCATATATTGAATTTAAATAAACTGAATTTAAGAAAATAAGATATTTTTTTTTAATTTATTATTTTTAAACTAACTTTAAATTATCAAATAATATAAATATTTATTTTTTAATAATAATAAAATAATATATTTGTAATTTTATATAAAATAATAGAAATTATATAATTATACAAATATTTATATTAAATAAATGATAATTCTACATTGCTAGAATTTTCTAAATATTAATAGTTAATTATGCAATTAATTCTTTTTTTGAATTTAATATAGCAAATATTTAACTGAATATTTGTGATAACAAGTACTATTCATATAAATATCTATTAATTATTGATATTAGCATAGGATTTATCAAAAGTATCTTTGAAAAATTTTAGCTATAAAATTACTATAATAATAGTATAATTGATTATATAAATTGATTCAATATATGATATATTTTATTTGATTATATGATACATTTATTTCTTTCTCCAGCTGGCTAACAATCCTATGTACTATAGTTCCTATATATTATATAGTTATAATATATTAACAAAAAGAACTTTTTAAATTTTATTAGTTCCATAAGTATTGCATCAAATAAACTATACAACATATCATTATAAAGCTAAAACTGAATATATTTTATTAAAAAAAATTAATATAATATTCTTTTGCTATTTTTTTTATAATCTTTTTATAATACTATAATATTGAATTTACAAAATTAATTAGAAGGCTATCTTAAATTATTTCTTATTCTTTTCCAAATTTTCTAATTCACTAAGGATATTAGCCTATGTAACTTTACGTTTATTTTAATATTTATCTAAAGATTTTAATAAATTATATCTAGACTATTAGAAGACTAATCCATAACTTTTAGGACTTATTTATTAAAAAAATCCTTAATAAATTTATTAAAATACTTATAATCATTATCTTATTAAAATTATTATATATTTTTAATATTTTGTATATTTCTAGAAATTGTTTTTTATATAGTAATCTCCATTTATTATATACCTAAAATAAAAAAGACTGATAATACCTTTATATAAATATCACTTTATATAAATATTTTACTTTGATTCTTTAACATTAGACAAATTGGTTTTATATTTTTATACTAATATTTTATCATATTACAAATAATTAAAAATTATTTTATCAGTAAAAGGAGTTTTTTTTTTTAATCATTATCCAATCCTTTAGCTGTATTTGCAACCCATAAGGAAAATATAAAAAAAAGAAAAATTCTTAATACAAAAGGTGAGAAATGATCATTGAATAGAGAAAAAAAAAAGAACATGAAATTAATAATAATTTTTATTATGCTAGATATGTTATTATAAATTTTATATATTGCAAATTATATTTTTAGACTCATTTAACTTAAACTAAGATTAATATTAGTATATAAAGAAAAAGTGTATTTTAGTATCTAAGGTTAGCTAAATGTTTTAAACTATTAAGTTAGAGATATTTACTTTTATATCTTTTAATTTATTAATAATAAATCTAACAGAAATTAAAGTTGCTTTTAAATATATTATTTAATTGCCTAAAATGCATTTGATGTGATTTTTTAATATATTTATATTATCTTTAACTTTACATTTCTAGTATTTTAAAATTTTTAAAATTTTAATGAATAATACTAATTGAAATCTTTATCAAACTTTATATTTCAATAGTATTTCATATTTCTTGCTTCTACAAATATAATATAGTTTTTTTTTATATTTTTAACTTAATAAAATTATTTAATATTTAATAAAATATAATTTTATTAAAGTATAAGAAAGATTTATTAAAAGATAATAAATGATTATTAAGATTTTATTTGCATATTTATTTGTGTAATTTAATCAAAAATTAAATAAATTATACTTGTTAATTTATTTTCAAAAAAATCATTTTTTACATATTACTGTAATTAGAAAATATTAAGTATATATCTAAGATACTACTAGTTAATAAAACTTATTAGAAAATCTCAAAATAATAAATATGGTATAAATATAATGATCACAAATCATAATATAAATAATTTAATCGATCAACAAATAGTATACTATCATATGCATAACAGATAAATATAGTAAACAAAATTGCATTAACTCAAATAACAAATGAATAGATAGACTAATAAATTTATTAAGTTATATAATATTTAATAGTTTTATACTTATGCTTTAAACTAATAATATATATTATTATACTATTAAATTATATATTATCAAAAGTAGTATAAAGTTACTTATTACATAGAATTAGCTATTTAAATAAAAATTAAAAAGGTAATTATAAAAAAATAAGCATAAAAAAAAAGATTTTAGTTTAACAATAAATATATATTTAATAAAAAGAAAATAAATAAGTAGAAATATAAGAAAAACCTTTTAAAATAACTGTAAATATAAATGCTTATATAGTTATATATTATCAAATTTAATATGATATTATATAATAAAAATAGATAAATATGTAATTTATTATGATATATAAAAAAGCAGTTATAATAGATATTATTATTTGGCAAATTCTAAAATATTTATATAATCCAAAAAATTAAAATCATTAAAAACTTTATTGGTTAAAAAGAACTGCAATTATTTTAAAAATCTTTTTCTATATTATAATATTTGAATATGATATATAAATATTATTTAAATTTATTTTTAAATTATAGATCAAGAAATAAAATTTGATTAATATATAAATTTATAGACATTTTGTAGTAAAAAAAGAAATCACTAAAAAAAACTTTTTAAATTAATATTTAAATCTAGATTTATTTATAAAAAAAATAATATTTAATTTATAAATTAAAAATTTTTTTGGTAATTTTCTTTTTTCTATTATAAAGCATCTATATAATTTACAAAATATTTTTAACTAAAAATCCTATAAGAAATCCAAAAGTTTAAATAATATTAATATTAAACAAAAGTTTAGAGAATAGATATTTATAAATAAATGAAATTGTAATAATAATTTGATATTAGTTTTTTGTAAAATGATAATATCTAAATAGTAAATTTATATAAATTAAATAAAAATTATTATTTATATAAATCTATAAATAATTTTATATTATGAATAGTAATATTAAAAGATAGAAAAGTATTTTAAAGCAAAATATGAGTATTATAACTATTTAAATTATTTGTAATAATAATATTCATAAAGAAGTAAAAAGTTTTAACTTAATTGTCA